ATCTCACAGAATGTTAAAAGCCAAGAAGAAGCTCTCAGGTCATTAAGGAAAATTTATTAAGAAAGAGATAGTCAGGGGTGCCTGGCTGGCTCAGTCGGGGGGGGAGCATGAGACTCTTGATAAAAGGATCATGCTGAGTGTACAGATTACTAAAAAATAAAGAAATAAACTTAAGGAAAAAAACAAAAAGAAATCCTTCCAAATGGACTCTTAGGTAAGTAGAATGTCAGTGGCTATGAATCTGAGTAGTGTCAATATTCAGTTTAGAATCAGAAGTTTTATCACTAAATAGCTGTGTGAATCTAGAAAGGTACTTGTACTCTGTGGGCCTCAAAATAGTCTCACCTGTGAAACAGAGTATCAACTCCACACAGGGCGGTAGTACTGGTCATGGAAATAAAAGCACCTGTTACAATAAATGGCATTTTGTAGATGTTCAATAAATACCATTTGAAGATATGAACACCAATTTTTAGATTAAAACACGAATTCGTGTTGCAATTATTCTCCCCTCTTTTAAATCTTCAACAGAAAAAAAATAAATTTCAACAGAAAGCTATAGCTGAAAAAGAAAAAAGAGAGCTGTAGTTGAAAAAAAAATCATTTTTTTCAGTTACTTGTTAGTTAGTTTATTCAGAAATTCTGAGTAAAGGAGACACCAAAGCAAATTAGAGTTAATGGACATAAAAAAACAGAGTATTGTATCTGACTTTACAAATAATAGTTACGCTATTATGTTAGTTCTTTCTTTTCCCACCCATTCCCCTGAAACCATTCATTACTGCTTCAAGCCTTCTCTAATTTCACTACTATCCTTGGCTCTCACTGAGCTGGATCAGGAGGGTCTCATGTTTTTCCATACAAAATGAATAAATAAATAAATCTCATTTCTCAGATTCCAATCTATTTAGTCTCTAGGCTCTTGGTTAGACCCTGTTGTCAGCTATAATTGAGATTATACAATCATTTTCCTGAAATGACATTTCAAAAGTCTCAGTAAGACTCACACTCGAATTTGACGAATAGGTCCATATTTTCCAAATATATCATACATTTCTTCAGCTGTGATTTTGTACGGCAAATTTCTTATGTATAAAATCCGATTTACTTCAGGTGGAAGTCGAATCTAAAATGAGAAATATGTACTATTATTGTAATCAGGGGCAGGAGCGCTACCACCTAAAATAAACTTCTCATAATTATAAATTCTCACAGTAAAACAAAAACAAAGACACAACAAACATAATAGTCAAGAATAAGAATTATTAAAAAATAGTAAGTATTATAATCTGAAATTATTTTCTGAAAATAGCATGCTTTTCAGAAAATCAACTGGGCTCTCGTTTTAGGGAGTATGCTTTCAGGCAGTGCAGTTAAACACAGATTTCCAACCTCATTTAAAAGTCCACAATGCCTTAGACACATAGGGGAATGAAGGGAACTCTTCCTGTTTCTTACACAATAAAACTCCCACTGATGACTCTTATCTGGTCTTTTTAAGAACCTGTTACATTAATGATATCTTCTCCCTCTTGAATTTAGTGTTCCCTTCACTATGACCTTCTACTATTCCTCCAATGAGCAGCTGCTTATGTCCTGCCAACTGTTACACAAAACTAAATACTTATTTGGATCCCTCGTTGTTCATTCATCAATATTTACTGAGCACCTTCCTTTTGTTTTTTTTTTTTAATTTTTTTTCAACGTTTTTTATTTATTTTTGGGACAGAGAGAGACAGAGCATGAACGGGGGAGGGGCAGAGAGAGAGGGAGACACAGAATCGGAAACAGGCTCCAGGCTCCGAGCCATCAGCCCAGAGCCTGACGCGGGGCTCGAACTCACGGACCGCGAGATCGTGACCTGGCTGAAGTCGGACGCTTAACCGACTGCGCCACCCAGGCGCCCCGAGCACCTTCCTTTTGTATATACCAGGCTAGGTATTAGGATTAAACAGTGAAGGAAAAAAGACAAGGTTTCTGCCTTCCCTGAACTTATTAGCTCTCTACTTATTATCCTATTTTGTTTTTTTTTCCCCTCTCAGTCAAGCATCTGGAAAGATTAAGTTTATACTCACTACTTCATATTCTTTCCTTCACTGATACACATCAACGTACCACAACCTAGCTTCCATCCCAGCACTATGACGAAATGCTCTTATTCACTAAGACCTCTTCACTGCAGTGTTCAATTCTCATCACACTTAACTTCTCTGGGGCTTCTGACACTGTTGACTATTACTTTCTTGACAACAATGACACTATTTCCTTGGCTTCCCCCTAACTGTCTGGCTAGTTCTTCTCATTCTTGTCATTAACATATGCTCTTCAACAGAATTTTGCTTTTAGACTTTTCTTTTAAGTTTACTTATTTATTTATGGGGGGGGGGGGGGGGGGTGGCAGAGAGAGAGGGAGAGAGAATTGCAAGCAGGCTCCGCACTATCAGCACGGAGCCCCTGAACCACGAAGTCACGACCTGAAATGAAATCAAGTCGAACACTTAACTGACTCAGCCACCCGGGCGCCCCCAGACTTTTCTTTACCTTTGTATACTGTCCTTAAGTCCACATTCTCTTTGGTCTCTTAACGACAACACATGGTTTCCACAGTAAGTGGATGACTCTTCAATATAAATCTCCCATCCAGGGTTCACTCCTGTGTTATTAACATATTCAACTACACATTGGATATTAATTTGCTCAAAACTCTTAAGCTGGCAACTATTTCAGACATTAAACTAAGTGCTGTATGAAAGGAAAAAGAGGAGGGGCACTGGGTGGCTCAATTGGTTAAGCAGTGGACTTTGGCTCAGGTCATGATCTCAAGGTTCATGAGTTCAAACCCCACATCAGGCTCTCTGCTGTCAGCACAGAGGCTGCTTTGGATCCTGTCTCCTCTCTCTGCCCCTCCCGTGCTGGTTCCCTTCTCTCTCTCTCTCTAAATAAATAAATAAATAAACTTAAAAAAAAAAAAAAAGAAAGAAAAAGAAGATACTTCTTCCTTGCCCTCAAACTAGTAGTAGTGACAAATGGTAAACAAATAAGTATAATAAAGTTTTAGATTTAAAATTCAAGACTGCCTTCAAATAGACAATCAGCACTGCCAATTATAATACACGTCTCTAGTACATCTGCTTTCTCACTCTGTAAGACACTGTATCACACTTACTCTTTTCTCCTCAAGCCTTACCACCACCACTCCTTCTAACATCTGAGTTGGGCGGTAACCTCTTCCCTGCCCATCTCAGGAGATGATCTTGGCTCTTCCTTATTGAAAAAATATATGACTAAATGGTAAGTACCTTATAGTCATATCACTAAACCCATCAATCTAAATTCATCCATATCCACCCCTCTCCCTCTCATTATTATGCCAACCTTCATCTATTCAAAACCTTAACTCCTGAACTTACTTCATCTTTCTCCTACATCATCAGTTTCCCCCACACTACTGAATCATTCTCTCTGGCATGCAAATACACCTCGTATCACACATCTTGAAAGAGAGAAGATATCAACCATCATCCAATCTCTCTGCTTCCTATTGACATGAAAACTTGTGGAAACAGCTGTCTCCATTTTCTTAACTTTCATCCTCTTTTCATCCCACTGCAGCCAACCTTTCATCCGCTAAGATGATCATCAAGGTTACCAAAATTCTGCATCCCACCATATCTAATTATGTCTTCATTACACTGTATCTCTCAGCCTTATGGCTGACCTACCATCTCCCTGGGACTACTTTTCTTAGGTTCCCATATAACACCCCATTCTTTAACAGAATGTAAACAGAAGAACGCTTTTATTCACTGTTGTATCCACAATGTGTAGACTATGTCAGGCACAAAGTAGGTATTCAATAAATATAACTTCTCAGTTGTTTCTTATCTCGCAGTTTTGGTATATAGTCGGTGCTCAAAAACACTGAGTTAAAACATTAATCAAGGATCCACAAAGCTCCATGACTTGAGGAGAATCCCAGGCTCTGGTTGCCTGTGAGCTATTAGGTTATTTACTGGAGACTCGTCTGTGCTTTTGACTTTTGGGTGAAGATCCTGTCGTCAGTTCGCGGGTGCAGATCAAGCAACAAAGGCTGTAGGATTAACACTATCGCTGACACCAGAATAAGAGACCGAGAGAACTCTCAAAAGGAGTGGACGCGGAAACGTGGCTCAGGGAGCATATCCGTAAGGATGGGGCTAAGATGGAACCCCCAGTGATAAGATAGCAAATTGTGGGCTACCCTGGCCCGGGGACCGAGGAAGTGCAAGATACACAGCGCCACGCCGTTGAGAAAGTCCAACAGCGAAGTCCTCCCCCTCTTTGGCAGAAGGCCCCGATACTCACGTTCGCCCTCTTGGCCGCTTGCATCGCCATCTTGGCGGGCTGATAAGGTTACCGCAGCAGACACTGGAATTCCTCCGGACACCCCCGGAGCTGCACTGCAAGACCCCAACACCGCGTCAAACGCAGGACAGCAACATCCACCACCGGAAGCTCTAAAACACGCCGGAATATCGCCGTCTCACGCCGAGACGTGCTTACGTAATATCCCCTTTCGAAAAGACTCCGGGGCAAAACGAGCCTGAGATGACAAAGAGGCGGGGCGGATAGTTGAAAGGTGAGGATTCAAGACGGGGCTGAGCTGTGCACCGGAAAGGGCGGGGCCTGGGCTTAAGAAGGGGAGGTGTTCCTGTCACGGCAGCCCTGAGCAAAGGAAGCTGGCCGGAGGGTGCGGGGCCTGGCCCCTGTGGGGCGCGCGCGGCGGTACCCAGGGACTGGTGTGTGGGCCCGGTCCTCCAGCGCTGGGCAAAGCTGGGCTTACGGGGTTGTGGCAGGTGGGGTTGTGGCCGACCCTGTCCCCGTACCCGGAACCCCCGACCCTGAAGTTGAGCACTCCTGTAACGCCTGCGGCGACGCCAGCCCCGACCCCCACCTCGTCCCCGCCCCGGCTGCCTCAGTCAGCGATCTGGGGCCGCCGAAGTGAGAAGGCCGCCCTTTAGCTCTACTTTCTTTTTATTTCCCTAGATTGGCTTTACACGGTTCAGTTGACGAGGCCGGGGAAGGGCCAATGGGTTACAGGGCGGCCAGGAGTCGCACCCGATCTCCTTCCAGCGTGCTGTGAACTTTGTCCAAGTTTGTCCTGGGAAGGCCTGAGTAGTACCCCCTCCTCCTTCATTGCGGCAGTTCCAGGACGATTTTGCCCACGTTCTTGTTGCTCTCCATGTATGCATGAGCCTCTTGGATCGCAGTCACGGGGTAGACTCTGTCCAAAACCGGCACTAGACGTTGTGGGCTCTCCGTGGAGAAGTGGGGCAGAATCTGTTTTGTGAAAGCCTCCACCAGCATTTGCTTGTACTTAAAATAAGGAAAAGGAGACCATCAGTCTAGACAGAGGCTTTACCTTGCTACTCCCCATCCTGCTTATTTATTAGCTTTTGTGCTCTCTCTGAAACGTGTACACATCTGAAAATGCACACAGGGGTACCTAACTCCTTTACTACCAGCTTGTATGTGCATGCCCCTCAATGTATAACCACTCTTCTGTAGCAGATAAAGACGGAATCCTGGACTAAAATATTAGTGGCACAGACCACAGGACTGTTCTTAAGGGTTTAGAGCAGGAGTTGGGCCACAGAACGGGCTTCTATAGGCTGAGTTCAAAAGGGATGTTTATGCTCTGCTATCCCACAGGTGTGAAAACGTAGGCTGGGAAACATTCCCAAATCTGGCACCTGCTAAAGTGCCACACAGAGAAGGTTTCAGTAATATATGATATGTTGAAGGTCCAGCCTTAACTAACCTTACTCACCTAAGCGGCTTTATATCACACTGAGAAGAGTTCTGCCTTTGGAGACAACCCCTATTTCCTAATATTGTCAATGCTTCATTCATTCTGTTACAAAGGTTAAATAATATGTGAGGGATTAGTTACCTTCTTTCCAAGATGTTGAGACTTCTGACCAATTTTAATTAGTTCTGTGAAAATGATTACTTATTTATCCATAGCGGGGCAGATTTCTACATGGGCTGTCTAACAGAAGATGTGTCAGATCTAACTTTTTTGTAGTTATGTAAACAAATCACACTTTTCTGGGCAATAAAATCATGTTTTCTTTTCATTCATCATTCACCTTTTCGTCCCTTGATCTCAGCAGAGTGGTGATCAGACTTCCTCGTTTAAAAAGTAGCTTTGAAAGTAGAGGTCCATTGATGTCATTTCCTCCCATCAGACCATAGAGAACCCAGCGACCGTCAAGAGCCAGGCAGTTGACATTTTTCTCCCAGTAGGATCCACCTATGCAGTCTAGAATAAGGTTGACTCCAGCACCTTTCACATGAAATACAGATTTGTAGTGCTAGTCAGACACATAAAGCTTTGTGCAAAGTAAGATTCCATGGTATATTTGTGAATATATGGATATGTACATGTATACAATGTATAGGTTAGAACTAGAAACATTGCTCAAAGAAACATTGCTGTAAATGGAGTTTAGATAGCTGAATTCTATCATACATGTGTGCTGTAGTTCATCTTTTATGATTCCTAGCCACAGCAAGAGGGAAATGGGGCAACACCATGACCTGGTATCTCTCTTGATCCCCATGTAAGTATAGAACCCACTGGCACCCAAGCATGAAAGAGAAAGAACAGGGGAAATCCACCCAGTCTACAGAGCAGGCTAATTCACATCTAAATTATGAAGTGTCTGTACTGGGTTGTCTGAATCATTTTACTAGCTTTGGTTTCATCTCTCCTTTTCGACTCAAAATGGAAAAGGGATGACCCCAAAATATACAGATTTGGCTTTGGAATACAGAGGCTTACCCGTTTGGGGAGCTACCATCCTACCCCTCCTATGACCAGCACTAAACTGGTCTCTGCCCTACGCTCCTGGTAACTCATTGCAGAGTGACTTGGAAGAAGAGGTCCTGGATAATTCCGGGCCAATTCTTTGGTTTATCCAGTTTTTAAAATGAGTAGGAATCCTATCACTTACAAGAATGCACACAGAAACATTTTAGTCCTAAATACTGTCTGCCTGTCTCCAGAGGTCAAACACCAGAGTACTAGAAATTGGCCAGGGCAGCTGTTGGGCATTTAGCAGAGGCAAGACAGATCCAGAGTACTGGCAACCTTCAGGCTGGTGAGGATTTTGTTTAATCACCTCTGAAATTCCTGTTGAGCTGCAGAAGCTATTGTTTACCTTTGGTGAATTTCAGTGTTGCTTCAGAAAAATCCTCTTCTTTGTAATTGAATCCAGCAGCTGCTCCAAGCTTTTTTGCCATCTGAAGCTTGTGCTGGGAGCCAGCTGTGACTAGAGGAATAGCTCCAGCCATCCGGGCGAGTTGGATGGCAGCTGTGCCCACACCACTTGATCCTGCATGGATTAGCACAGAGTCTCCAGCCTGAACGTGTCCTGTGACACAAAGTACAGGAACCATTCTCTTTACTTTGCAAGTGTTACACATTCCCCACGCAGGCATATTCTGCCACATGTGCCTGGCCCTGGACCACCGAATGCCAAATCTCTTGCTCTCTTCAGAGTGCTCGACAATTCTTTTTTTGTTTTCCTGCCTCTTGTCAAAGTGGGAAACAACCTTTTGAAACAGCTATTAGCAGCCACATCCATAATCTATATTTTCCTTATGAAGTAATACCGAGATGCACATCTCTGACATATACCTTAATAAGTAAGAAGTAACTGCTCTTCCCACTGTCACCACCTGACGCCAGTCCCTCTTTAGTCTGAAACTGGCCTCCAGCTGGTCTCAGTGATCCAGGCACCATGGACAGCCACCAGGCTTCTCTTCCTGAAATGGAGCTTTCATTATGTCACTTTCTCCTCAAAATGTAAAGTGGTTCTCAGTTGGCTTTTGCATCCAGTCCAGACAATGTGCCACTCAAGGCCACTACAACCCAGTCCGAGTCTCATCTGTCACAGATAATAATCATTGTCCTTCACTCTGAGTGGAGCAGCCAATCTCACCTTGACACTCTCTTAAGCTGCCTTGGCCTGGCTTCTGTCCACCTCAACTTTACTCACCCTTCAAGTCCTTCTCTTCCAGAAAGCCCTCTCTTACCACGCTTACCCACGCTAACTGTTGCCATCTGGAGTTTCTATTGTAGTTAGAGACAGGGCCACCTGCTGAACTCTATGGTTCTATGTGCATGACTGGTCTTCCCAGTTTCACTGAGCTCCCTCATGGCAGGGACCAAGTCTTCTTAGGCTCCCTCCCATCAGAGGGATTGGGAAGAATAAAAGTTGATTGAATAGCCCCTTCTGCTGCATCAGGCTCACAGAGCTCGGCAGGACTGTGAGCAGCTGGGACTACTGGGGGGCCTACAGTGTGAACATGTGCACAGGCCTTCTATCCAGTGCTTTCCAGGCTCCATCTACCAACCATGATTTTCAGCCTCAACATCAGGCCATTGCTAACGTGGTATGAGGACCTGATACTACCGGCAGTACATTAGGGTGGGATGCTGGGGTTGGGTGACTCAGTGGCCAGGCCAAAGCTGCCTCTGAGGGCTGCTGGGTTTTGAGGTGGCTGAGTCAGGAAGTAACTAAGCCACACTGTATGGAGCGAGCACGGTGCGGGGGACCTCCTCACCCAAGAGATGTAACAGCTGGAAGGCGGTAAGCCAGGCCTCTGGGATGGCTGCAGCCTGGGACAGGGTCAGTCCTGCTGGAATAGGCATGAGGAGCCCTTCAGGGACAGTGACATACTGAGCCTGTCCCCCGCCAGGCAGCAGAACCATGACTGGGTCCCCAATCTTCCAGTGCCCCTGGCAGGCGGGCCCCAGCGCTGCTATGTGTCCAGATGCCTCCAATCCCAAAATGCTGCTGGCTCCCGGGGGTGGGGGATACTGGCCTTGTCTCTGCAGAAAGAGGGGTGCACTAAGTGGTGAGCATGATCAGAAATGTGTGTGTCACCATCCCTGGCTCTCTTCCAATGGCCCCTCTTTTTCTCAGAAAAAATAGGGTAAAGTCAGGTTTTGCTAAGTCAGCACAGGAGACAGGAGAAGTAATTCAGATACTGTAAGTCACATAATAGGTGGATGTCAGAAGTGGTTGGGTCCTTAGCTATTTACTTCATCAAAACACCTTTTTTTACAAAGAGAGAAACTGAGACCTGCACAGGGAAATGCCTTGTCCAAGGTCACAAAGTAAATCAGTAGCAGGACGAGGAACAAAACCATGGACTCCTTAAAGACAGTTTTCATATATCAAGTGCCAGGCTTTGTACTCTCACTCGCTGCAAGCCTCAGAAGCCTCTGACTGGAGGTTTCAGACCAGAGGGGCTGAACTAAGACAGCACTAGAACCATTTGAGGAGCTTTTTCAAAGTACATATGCCTGGGTTGTGGTAATGTTTATTTTGGAAAAGTGGCCCAGGTGATTCTGGCACACATTTCTCAATTACCCCAATCAATGCAACTGTCTCAGTTTAGTGCTTCAAAGAGCAGAAAAAAGAAGATTCCTAGAGTACAGTCCCCTGCCAGCTCCAGGACCCTCAGAGCTGAAGGAATGCAGAACTTTGGAGCCACACCAGACCTCAGTTTGAATTAGAGCTGCCCTGATTATTAGTGTTCTGAGTACTGCTTAACCTCTCTGACTCTCAGTTTATCTATATAATACAAATGGTAAACAGGGTTGCCAAAAGAGTAAATGAGATAGAGCAAGGCCTCACACACACACACCCCACACGCTCAACAAATGGTAGTCCCCATCTCCTTATGTGGAAGCCTGAGCAGGTAATGGGTTAACACAGAGTAGATGCCGCTTTGCAAATATCCCTATATATTGTGGAAACAAAGGAGGCTAAATGGTTCTTTGTCTTAGAACCCCCGGCACACATTCTGCAAACATATCATGAAGACTGTTACTGGCAGTGCCATAGGTCATTCCTTTTATCTGTCTGGTGAATCTTTCTCGAAGGCCCCGAAGCCCCTCCCTGACCCCTGGGTACCTGGAGTAAGTCTGCCCGGTTCAGGGCGCTGGCCGCCACTTTCAGGAGGACTTCACTTTCTACTGGGCTGGGCTTGGCCACCTCCTTCAAGTAAAGGTTTTCTGGTCCTCCCGGCTTGTCAAAGTGCACAGCTAACATGTTCTCTGAGGACACTGTAGAAGCAAGGGAGGGAGCCCGAGGTCCTTCGGAGAGCGCAGCGCCTAACCCGACGCTGCAGCGCCCCCTGCCGGCCAGCGGCTTCCCTTAAAAAGTGGTCTCCAGGACGTCCGGCCCGCGCCGCGCCCCGCGCTCCTTCCCTGGAGGTCCCAGCCTCCCGCACACGGACCCCCTGCAGAGGACTCTGGTTAGGCCAAGGTGGCGCTGTCCCGGCTAGGATGCAGCGTAGGGGGAAGACACAGAAGAGCGTGAGGCAAGTTGCGCTCCCTCTGAGTTGGAACCCACCCCCACCCCGCCTCACCCGCCCGGGTGTGAGTTCCTGGACACTTACTGGGGCCGGGCTCTCCGCTGGTCCGCGCGGCGCGGTCCTGCGCTCCCTCGGGTCCCTGGAGCAGAAGAACCCTGGAGTCCGGGACTGCCTCGGCCGCGACCGCGAAGGACGGCTGGACTCCGGACAGCGCCAGGGGTGGGACTGACCTGGACCAACCCTCCTCTTCCTTCTCCTTCTCCCCCACCTTGCAAAGATAGTGATAGCGAATCAGATTCTCTATTCATTTGAGCCTCGGAAACTAGTCTTTCTTCGGTTGGCCGGAAATCCTGTTATAGTCTCACTTCCAGAAAAGAAAACTTCCTTCTCTCTAGAGAACTAGTCTCTTGGCCGGCGATCGGTCCATTTTCCACCCAGGCCAGGCTTTTAACTCACTGACGCTGTAGGGCCAGCATCTTGAGTATGGTTGGGCACGATGGGTGCAGCTGACAGAATTGAGGAGGATTGGAGAAAGGGGAAGGTAAAAGCCGTCCTGTGATCCTTAGCACTTCTGCTCTTCCTCCTGGGGATGAGGGAGCAGCGCCTGGAAGATGCTGCCCGGGGAGGCAGTTTTGACTGGTTAAAGTTGTATAAATAGGCTACATCAGGTTTCTCAGATTTGGCACTGTTGACATTTTGGACTAGATACATTTTTTTTTTTAATTTTTAATGTTTATTTTTGAGCGAGGGAGACAGTGTGAGTGGGGGAGGGGCAGAGAGAGAGAGGGAGACACAGAATTTGAAGCAGGCTCCAGGTTGGGAGCTGTAAGCACAGAACCCTATGCAGGGCTGGAACTCAGGAACCCTGAGATCATGACCTGAGCCAAAGTCGAACACTTA